TGTGTGTGTGTGTGTGTGTGTGTGTGTGTGTGTGTGTGTGTGTGTGTGTGTGTGTGTGTGTGTGTGTGTGTGTGTGTGTGTGTGTGTGTGGGGCTCGTCCCGTATTCAGTGCGGCGTGGCCGGCGACCAGGAAAGCGCCACTTTACAAAAGAGGCATCTTCAGCACGCACGAGAACGACCTGGCGCGCATGTGCGATGCGCACGGCCAGAGGTAACACGCACGCTGGGGTATAGACACGCTGTTTTGAGGTCACCAACATGTATGACAGCGCCCACGTACGTACGTGCGTGCGTGCGCGCGCGTGCGTGCATAAAAGACTGCGTGTATGTGCGTGCGGTTGTTTGCGTGCGTGCATAAGAGACTGCGTGCGCACGCGCGCGTTTCTGTGTGCGCGTGTGCTTGCGTGCATGAATCAGAGACTGCACGAGTGCGCGTGTGTATGTACGCTTGTACGTGTGCGCGCGTGCACGCACAAGTACCTGCGTGCGTGCGTGCACGTTGTGTGCGTGCACATGTACTTGAAAGTACACTGTACGTGCACGTGCGACTGCGTGCGCACGCGCGCGTTTCTGCCTGGCAGCCTGCGTGGGTGCAATTGCGAGTGTGTGTCTGTATCAGAGACTACACGATGTACGATAAGACCAGGTCATTTCAAAACTAAACGCTCGGAGAAACGACCCGAGATTTCGCCCCCCCCCCCGTCTATAAATTTCAGGCGTAAAGAATGCGCCAAGCATGGTATTAGAGACGTCCCTGTAATGTTCCGCACCAACTGCTAAGCTTGCTAACCGTATACAATCTGTCTCCGAGTTCTCACTTTCTCCACGTACATAATTATATAATAACAGTTAACCATTATAACACGCCTACGCTTTTATCTACTAAAGGTATATGCAAATTGAAGAACATGAACGTCAAAGTTAATGGTTTATATTTTGCTAAAGTTACGATCATTTCTACAACATTCGTCATATGATCACGGCACCAGACACTGTCGCACGAACGTTCACGTGGAGAACGCAGTCAATGTCACCTTACAGGAAATCCCGCACGCGAAAAACGCAAACTGGAAGAATATGTTTACAGCGGAGATAAAGCGTTAATGACTCGAAAGTGCACTTTACGAGTTGTGTAAAGGACACGGCGACTCTCTCCAATGACACGGCCGCAATCCAGATGGGCACCCGAATCTACCTGTGCTTTTATAGGTGCGTCACACGCGAAATGGGCACAGGCGTGCTGCTTCGACGGATAAACCAGGACACGATGAACAAAGGCGACTTGGGGGGAAGAATGAATTACTGTCGGAGTGAGTCCGCTGGAACACGAATGCGGATCTATGCACAATGTCGACAATCATACAGCCAGAGCTATCCCCTAAATCTCGCGGCCTCTATAGCGTATCATCTTCTACAGTCTGGTGAAACTCAGACGCAGCTCTCATACAGACCATAAAAATATATCGAGACACCTATATAGTCTACCTATTTATTATTTCTATGATACAGACCTAACAGCTCTGTAATACGATTCGCACTTGTACAGATAACTGTTTGCTGAATGTTAAAGTTATATATCGATGATAGTGCCATTAGTGTAACTGCAATAATACACTGCTTTGAACAGTAACTCAATACACTGGATAGCCCGTGCATAAAATTCTGCAAATTCAGGTTTAGAATGACACCAGTATTGGAGGCAATTACATTTTTAATTACTGTTCCGATTTCAATTCACAGCCATTTCATGGTAATTAGGTTTGATAATATAAAATGCCAGAACTGTACTTATTCTGTAATACCACTATTAATAATGATGTCGTACACATGCTTGAATTTTTGATATAGACCCTAGTGATTAAACTAATAAAGGGATCGTTTACTCTGGGTTCTATGGTTATTTTCAGATAATTTAGGTTGAAATTACGCTACATAAAAAGTTTCATGGTTCAATCACCATTAGAAATATTATTAAAAAATGTTTTAAAACTAACGACTACAGTTTGATTACAACGACGGTGGCGCCACTCAAAGCGCACGATCTGATAAGTTGCGCAAAACCACTTTTCAGCCAAGGGCTACAGACCGAGGGTGTTTCTTATTTATTAGTTGAAAAGCAAAAGGATTGTAATATCTTATAAACGACATATAGTTTCAGTTATATTATGGATAAATTTGTCCTAAAATGAACATCGTTTGGTTAAATAGGCTAGCATTTAGGTATGAATATAATTGCACCTTTGTGATTAGCCCTCGGTCTGTAACGTGCAAAATAAATTGGCAAATGCGCAACTTTTTCAGGGTGGCAGCACGGTCGCAGGTGTCATGGCGCCGTTCAAATTTCGTAGCGTTGATGTGTAATTAATTATAACAATTAAATTAGGTATCTGGTAACAAATATGTGTGGGTATAGACGATTTGTTATACAGTAAGTATATTATACAGTTGTATGCAGTAAAATCCCAGAGTCTACTATCCCTTTAACAGTGTATAATAAATACAAAGTTACTCAATTGCTTGCATGATTTGCACATAGAATGATGTATGACCTATGACACGAGAGAATGGGGATAACGTAAGGGATAGAGGATGTAACCAATAAATGTTATAAAGATAGGAAAGACATGTTAACAATGCAAAAATACATGAACAAAAATGTAATTGTATATTGTGTACCACAGGATCATGTTCTTTAATATCCCAAAGCACACAATGAAAGTGCTATTATTTCAGTATTTATAAATACTAAGCTGTTGTGTTGATTTGCCAACAGTATCATAGTATTAGAAGCAAAAATAAGTTTTCATACATTCACTGATCAACACACGTTCTTTGCTTCATTGTCGTACACGTGAAAATGTTTGAGCAATATAGCAAGGAAGATATAATACATTTCTTCTATTGACCATTTTATTATGTTAACTCAATTCACCCTCTACGCAAATAGACAAAAGTGAAAGAGTAATTCACACAGAATTGAACTGTAATAACTAAAAACAATAATGGAAACCACATGAAATTTGTCGTATGCAAAGTAGTTTAAATCAGGACTATGGATATTTTGTTATTGCACAATGTGTAATGCACCAGCATGGAGAAACACGATACATACTGCTAAATTTGGAATGAGACATTTTGCCATAGATTGCCTATTGATTCATTATACTCCTACAAAGTCCTCCAATGATTGTGAGTGCAGGATGAAGACAATATTAAGCTGAAATTGCAAAATGAGGAGAAAGCAAGGCTGGAGAAAGTGTGGACCAGTGTACACAAAAGTGGGGAACAAAGTGCAGGTTAAAATTGCACCCACTATCGTCAAAGTGATGTGCAAGTGAAGACCAATCACTTCTAATATTATAATATGAATAATTAGGTTCACTACCTTAAAGTGCATCTCCGCTAAGCAATGCTCTTCGCTGTTTTGTTGTCACTACTGTTGTGGTGGCCGCCTACTAGTACTTTGAAGAACTGACGGGTTACGTCATAGATTTTGAAGCTGTCACAATCCAGTTAATGGTGATACAGGCCAAATCCTCCTGCAATACATGTCGCCCGGCTACAACCGAGTGACTTTTGATTAAAAACACAATTCAATTATTCCTGTTATTTAAATGCAATAGTGAATTTAAATACTAATTATTATTAATAATAATATCATTAACATTATATTGCCAGCAAAATTATACACACACTGTCACGGTGACACACGCATATAACTTCCACTTCTCATGTTCCATGTTGACATCTGGTGCGCCCCAAATGTTGTTTTCTCCCCCTTTTATGCAGTTGTAGTTATATAGTAGTAGTAGGGCCTATACATTAACAATACTAAACATGGTACTTGGTAGCATTACGCCATTGGCGGTTTACATTCAAGATCATTATTTTATAATTGATCACATCCACTCGTCAGTGACAGCTTATGCCGTGGCATCTAATGTAATGGGTTATCGACGAATAACGGTTTATCTAGTTTCAACTTCTACGTTTTAAGTTAAAATAATGAGCTTACCTGCTTCGTTATAGATGTGAGAGTTCGTCAGCTCAAGGCGTGTTACTACTACTAGTCTGATAAATGGAGATAACAAGAATCAACTACATTAGAAGGAGAGACATCCGGAGACATCACTGATCAGTCACAACATAAAAAACATTCACATCTACCATGTCATCACAACTTGGCACTGGAAATACTGAAACGAGCCAACGTCTTATGTCGATATATGAATCGATATTTAAGCGTAAATCTACTAAAGTTTTGAAAGAACCTGTAATTTAGAGCATAGTATTTATAATACCTGAGTGCTTATTTTATAATAAATAAATTCCTAATTGCTATTTGGATTATAGTTTTTGATTGTTATGAAATAAAAATTATATTGTTTCTGGTTTTCGAACAACCCCATTCGCTGTTCTCTTGTTCAAGTAATCCGTTTCAATAAATTATCGATAGAGGGCAGTGTAACTGAAAAGATGTCTGCGCCCATTAATGAGGTTCCCACAAGTTTTCAAAAGAAGAAACGTGTCTCAGTACAAATTCCAGGAACAAAACCTTCTTTCCACAATGCACAGTTATTGATATCTACAGGTGTACCCTCGTTAGATCATGTGATAGGTAATGTGTTATTTGGTAGCATTACATGGACCCATAAATAATTAAATTTAATTGTGCCCTAGAATTTTTCGTCCAAATCAATATATAGCAATTTCAGTTCAGACGACAAACATTACAAGTTAACAATTTATGTAGTACAATATTCTATACTCAACTATGTAGTGGTTTAAAACCCCTTTACTGTGAACATTAACAATAAATAATAATAGCACAGTGTGGTCCACGAGGAGTTTTAACATGTATGATCTGTGATGTAAGGCCGACAGGTTAGAGTTTTGGGCCAACAGGTTTGAAAATTGCCAGCGGCAACAGGTTTGGATTTGAGGGCGACAGGTTTGAAATATCAAAGCAAGAAACAACACAAACAAAGCAAAATACAACTGTACTGCACTGTCGAACGGGACGACGTACGCATTGTCACAGCGCGTGCTTGTAGCATACACTATTATAGTGTATTACACTGTTTTACACTGTGCATGGGCTCCCACTTGTCGAGCAGTCAAATCATACAGTGCGTTTACGTCTTCTGAGCTGCTTGCTCTGATTCATGCGCGTGCCTGTACACGTGCCTGTGTGTCCTTGCCTGCACGCGTGCCTGCGCGCGTGCATGCATGCCTGTGTGTGTGCGTGTGTACCTGCGGGCATGCCTACGTAGACCCGTAGGATTATAGAACGGTAATCCATGGAAAATTGTAATGAAATTCACACGTTTATTTTTGTGTGCCGGCACACTCGTGTGTCATTCCCGGTTGTAGCCTTTTCCTCAATTCCAGGAAAGAGTTTTGCTGTCGCTCTCTCATAGCCCAGCATTGCACACCCCCTACATTTTAGTAGTGATTAGCACCATGCGACTGAAACAATCGTGTGCCCCCCCCCTGTACTTCAATCAATGCCACCCCCACTCAGCAGGCACCTTCGCAGCGTCGATGTGTACAGCCACAGACGCGTGCCTCGCGGGCCGATTTTTTTCGGTGACCTTTGAAAATATAATGTGAGAATGTCGTGCGATAGCGCCCTGGCTCAAAGGATGTTAGGAATATTACACACCTAGGAATTGTTTAGTTGTCCAATCGGGCAACTAGCCAAACGAATAACTTGTCCGACATAGACTTTCACTTGTCCTGAGCCTCATATCATAGCGCTTTGCAATCCACTATGAATAAAAACAGCTCACAATAACCAGCCTATTTCATCAGATTCCTTCTAACTAGACTTCTAATAAGACTGAATCAGAACACACTAAATGCCTTTATGATGGTGTCTGTGGAAGGCCCATCAGCTCAGGACTTCCCCTTCCATGAGGCAGCAGATGCCTGGGCAGCAATTAGGAAAAGGAAACTGGGAATTTAAAGCCTTTATTATGATATTTGGTTTTCTACTCAGCAACGGCGCTCAATCCGAATTAAATGTAGCGAAATATAGTTTCACCTTATAGTATATTTATTTGCACATTGCTTTATAACATTTGACTGGTTACATTCACACTAGTATACAAATTGAACAATGAAAAATGACTCATCACTCATGACTCTTGACTCAACCCAAATTATTTTGAAATATAGGTCATAAATCTTGTGCAAACATTTTCCAAAATAAGGCTCAGATTGCACCAGAGAGCGTATAAAACCCCTGCGCTCCTCGCACATAATTTCAATTAATATCTAAAGTACTCCTCTACAGTTCCCACAGTCCCAGTTTTACATGTTTGAATTTTAGGTTGTGGACCACCCTGTAGCAAGTCAAGAATTGTAATTCATATTATCAGTTACTATTTTACTTTTAGGAGGTGGTCTTGCAGTTGGAACTATACTCCTAATTGGTAAGAGAACTTGTATATATATCTAAGTAAAGTTATATAAATTATCCAACAACATACTTGTTATCCTATTTTAGTGCTGCATACTGTATTTTTATGGTGCATAGTAAGCACTAAATTATGGAAACATTATGGAAATTGAAGGTTAGAAATGCTCATAAATGAATAACATGCATCAAGGGTTTCAATCATATTCTGGTATTGATTCTAGGAGAGTGATAAGGGCATCAGACTGATATCAGTCAGAATGCCTTTTATGTAGCACTGTAGATATTTACATTCATGGTCTGCTGCCTCAACAGAGAATTATAATTATAACAAACCAAGTCTAGCTGTGTTGCACACAGAATTGAGTTACTATCATTTTGATGTTTTCCTGGATTTCATTACCATTTCACTTATTTATACCCTCTAAGCAGTTGTGGCATGAATCGTGTGTGATCTTAGAATCCATTGCTGTTTCAGAAGAAGACTTGTACGGAAACTATGCCAAAGTTTTGCTCAAGTACTTCTTGGCAGAAGGATGTGTGGTTGGACATGAACTACTTGTTGCTAGCTGTGATGTGCCACCCAAGCAGATAATGGCTGTAAATTGCACTTATTATCCAATCGCATGCATAATCAGTTGGTATCACACAAACCTATATGTATGATGAGCTCAAATATTCCATCCAATTCTCCTAGTAGTGCATATTTGCTGTTATATTAAAGCTGCACTATGCGCATCCAAACGCTAGACTACTAGCTACAGTACTAGGCTCCAGTACTAGACTAGCAAATACTTCGTGTCATGCATAATCACACTACCTTATGGCAAAATAAACTCTAGTTCCTCCCATTTCACTGCGCGTTTGCTTAAAACCCACAAGAAAGAGGTGCGAAATCTGGTAATCTGGCGCCAACACTAAATTGTTTGCCAAACAATTTCGCCAAGAATCGGTTAGGTGATGTCACATGTTTTTATCTTTGCTACACCTGTACCGCTGTACCGCAGCACCGCTGCACGGTTGCTTGGGAGAGCAATGCGAAACTGTCAACAACATCGGAGAATTTGAACAACATTGGAGGTATTTTAAATGCCTTTTATAAGACAACGCACAGTGAAATGGGAGGAACTAGAGTTTATTTTGTCATAAGGTAGTATGATTGTGCATGACACAAAGTATTTGCTAGTCTAGTACTGGAGAAATTAGCGTGTAGATGCGCATAGTGCGGCTTTAATTTATCTGTATAATTTCGCACAAGCAAATTTCGTCTGGTTAGCTACAACATGTCAAAAGGCATCATCTGTGCTCAGTGGAATTTTATCATATATTTATCATGTAATAATGAAGGAAAGGGTAATGTACTTTGAAAAATTTGTTATTTGGTTCAAAAGCATGACAAGTACATGTCTTGTTTTGTACATGTGTATTCATGTACTTGTTTATGTATTGTTTATGCACAACTTGTTTAATACATCTGGTGATAAGAATGGTCAGGTACTAAATGCATTTTGTGGAGATTTACTATACTGAGAGTAATTTATTGTTCTCATAGATGCTTTACTTGTGTTATTGATTTGTTGATAGGAGTTGCCGGGTCCGATAATGACTGAGCCGGTTGATAGCAGTGCGACAGATACTGCTGAGAGCATGAGCAAGATGAACATTGCTTGGAGATATCAGAATTTGCCAGTTGTCAAGGTGAATGTGCATGTTTTGCCGTTGTGTTTTATCCACGTACATTAAAATAGGCAGTTTAACTATGTTTTAATCAAGCTGAAAATACAGTGGAAATTACAATTGATTTTATACGAATGACATTTTTATGAAGAGCAATGTATGCCATAAAGGACTCATATTTTTACATTTACATTTACACATAGTTGTGTCACCTTTTATGGTATGCATAACAATTTATCACTATAAAATGTATGATATTTCATAGTCTATATTTCTTACAAAAATCAAATTGCAAAAATGATCCTGGATAGCAGTCCCGGCTAAAACTAGTTATCAGTGTTTTTTATACCAATTTAACTAATAGCGCCCCCTGGTGTGAGCTAAGCACGGTAAACTACACTCCTAGTAAGAAAATCCCACAGCTATAGAAAAGTTTGACGTGCTTGCTGCAGAGCTAGGAATTAGTTGGCTATAAAGTTTATAGATAATTTTGACCTTAATTTACCGTTATTGTCAAAAGGAGCTCAAATAGGTTTTTTATCTGAAGAAATTTGACTAGAGATGCTTTTGTTGCTTCCATTGCAACATCAATCCCTTTATCAAACATGTCATTTTTTATTTCAGTCTTCCACAACTTCGAAAAGTTTCAGTCATTACTATGACTTGACAAAAGTGATGCCAGAAGATCTATTGAACAAGACAACAGCTACCCTCATCAACACAAATGATTTCCTGACAACACCATGCACTAGGTATTATAACTTTTTCTGTGTAACTGATGCTGTAGGTTAACATAGGCATGCACATGCTATATTTATAATATACTCGAGATGACTTTGGTATAACATTGGTTAATTATCTCATATTCTCCAAGAGTAACTTTCTTTGTTGGCTGGCATGGTGAATAAGAAGTTGTTCAATTATTCTAATCAGTTCCGCAGCGACAGAGACTATAAGAAAGGCTGTGAAGGAGAGACATTGTATGTGAGTGTAGGAGTGACTGAGTGAGAATGACTTAGTGAATGAGTGACTCAGTGTGAAAGAAACTCGGTTTGAGAGTAATGTAATTGAAAGTAAGTGAGTGTATTGAACTGAGTGAGCGAGATTGGGAGCAGCAACTGTGTGCATAAAAACTAAACCATTACTACTATACTACTACAAATATACCACTACTACCGCTACTGCTGCTGCTGCTGCTACTAATTACTATACCATTCCCCTACAGCTCAGTAATGACTCTGACACCAGCTTATGAGAACCTGCTAAGGAGGATTCAGTCTCAGATAACTGATGGCGGTTTCGGCACGACGCAGACTAAACCGCAGAGTGAAAGGAATGTGCTGCGGATAGCGTTGCACGCCCTCGGTAAAACTCCTGTTTGTTCACGATGAGACGGCCGTGAATTGACGTGTGTGGCGGCAGAAGTGAAATTATGACATTCCTGTATAACTATAAGTTAAAGTGTTTGGTTATCATTGGGAAGATGAGTCATAGTTCATATTTAAGTTAATGCAATTGTTGCTTTTAGATCAGGTTGATCAGTGGCTGTGGTGTGCGGGTTTCTTCACACCATATTCCCCATTGGTTAGTGTTCACCAGTTTGTGTTGTCTGTACCTTACGTCATAGGCTCACCATTGTGGAGAAGTGAAGATTGGAGTTCGGACAGATTGGACACGTCGCTAACAACCTTCCTGTATCTCCTTAGAGCTCTCATGAGGCAATCGTATGCTGCTTGCCTCATCACTGTACCAACACATCTGTTCGAGGTGAGATGTACGAATGCTTCACATATCTCGTTTCTATGATTTAATGTATGTATTACCCTCCAGACATGTGTATAAGTGTGCAGGCATACATGACAGGACCCCCAAAATCTTTACAGTAAACAGACGATATTGTGTTTCGGATGAAAAAATGTTAGCTGGGTGTTTCTGTGCTCTTGCATGTGCCAGGAGTTTTGAGTCGTCAGACAGGGCAAAGACTCGCTGTCGAATCACTATTACCAGAGCCCTGTAGTGAGGCGTTCAACCATCGTGCCAGGTCCTGTGTGCTACAGTGGCTAGGTCGAGTGTAGTGTAGTGACCCGAGAAGAAGAAGAACATTACACAAGGCAAGAACTCTGTATGTGTCACCTGCACCCTGTCATCTTACTCATAATACCTCGCAGGATGCGGCACTTACTAGGCGAGTGGAGAGACTCGCTGACACGGCCATCCGGCTTGAGTCGTTCTGTGGCTCGCAGCATGAGCACAACCCTGCCTTCAAGGAATACCATGGTGAGATTCACTGCACAGGTCGATATGTATAGCTTCCTGCTGACTCAACTTTCTGCTATCCGTAGAGAATCGTGTTCAAATGATATTGATTTTTTTGGTGCCGGAGGTTAGTAAAAAAGTAAGTTGAAGCAACAATGGCCTACAGGCACACAGAACAGAAACATTTTCATTTGATGTCGGAGTGTACTTTTTCATTTGGTAAATAATGGCACCGGATCGATAAACCCTTGGAAGCAACTGTAAAAGTCGTGCTTTGGTAAATCAATAGCTATAGAGGAGGACTCATTGATTGATTAATGGCATACTAAGTTGCATTCTGTTGTCTCTGCAGGTCTGTTTCACATCGTGAGGCTTCCTCGGCTAAATTGCCTCACGTGTCAGATGCCTGAAACATTAGATTTGGCGTTCAAGCTGAGGCGAAAAACATTCATGATAGAGGTATGTCTATTAGTAAACACAGGATATATCGGATAAATAAGTATATATCCATCATTCATGATCCACTGAGTATAATGTAGACACATTCTTTATCTTGGCTATAAGAAACCACATAACGTTTTTTGAAGAGTTGAGATTTACATGACGGTATCTAATAAATTTGCATATTATAGTTCCTTTATCTGCTTTGTAAATTTAACTGTTAGTATTAGATCTATCAATATAACCACTTCCATAGTTGTCTGTTTAGAAAAAAACATTGATATTTTTAATGAAGTCTAATAACAGCGCACACATATAACAGACTGTATTAGCAGTGTGTTTCAATTTGCTTATGGGTTTAACATGTTGTTTAAGAACTGTTTTTTATAAGTTACACTCATTTCGCTCTTTTTTGTAGAAACTTCACCTGCCTCCAGATCTTTCGGAAACGGCGAGTCGGTCTCAGGAAGAGCTAGGTGTTCCCCTATCATCTTCATCAGCTCATGGTTGCAATGCCGCTGTCAGTAGAAACCTGGATTTCTAGCCTTCTACAACTGAGGTCATGACGTGTAACCACAGCTGATCAAGAATACATCTGAGGTCATGAAAAGATACTAGATGTCTATCATACAACTGAGGTCATGGCATGTGACTACAGCTCAAGAATACATCTGAGGTCATGAAAAGATACTAGATGTCTATCATACAACTGAGGTCATGGCATGTGACTACAGCTCAAGAATACATCTGAGGTCATGAAAAGATACTAGATGTTTAGCATACAACTGAGGTCATGGCATGTGACTACAGCTCAAGCATACATCTGAGGTCATGAAAAGATACTAGATGTCTATCATACAACTGAGGTCATGGCATGCAACCACAGCTCAACAATACATCTGAGGTCATGAAAAGATACTAGATGTCTATCGTACAACTGAGGTCATGGCATGTAACCACAGCTCAAGAATACATCTGAGGTCATGAAAAGATGCTAGATGTTTAGCATACAACTGCGCCTCTGCCTCTAAGTTTATCAACATTAAACACCAGTACTATGCAGTCAGGTTTCTGTCGTACAATTAGGGGGTCAGACCCTCATCAGTAACATGTTATCGGGAGTAAATAATCAAAAATCATGGTTATTTACTCCTGATATTATCATGCTGGTATATGCAGGTGTTTATCATGGAGATGCAGTAAGACATGTAATTTTAGTGCCTGTGGAACGAAACTTGAATGTTGAGTCGTCCAAAGGAAATATCGTGTATATTATTATTGTATGATTGTGTTGTAAAATATATGACTGCATTGCGCATTTCTCACATTGCGGATGTTATGGGTTATTGTGAACATCTCATCAGAGTGCACTAACATGAGCTCTAGAGCTTCAAAGGAGGCGGATTAACCAGTTCTGATATTTTCATTTTTTTAAAGACATTTTCAGCAATAAAAATTCAATGCATACAGTACTCAACAAATTATCCTGAATGGTATGAAATATTTTTATAAAAATCAATATCGACCCAAAAATGTAATTTAGTACGAATTTGCCATAAACACATCTAAGAGGTTATAGGATATAACCATCTTGCTAACACTGATTAAGAGATCCATTGTCAACATTTTTGTACATTTCTGTTCAGCCACTTCGAAATAATTTTAATTTTTCTCATGTATCCTTGGCGGCAGATGGCGCTATGTAGCCATTTATATAATGAGCCAGCTATATAATTTTCATATAATATAAAGGGATTTCTCTATGCAAAGCATACAGCAATATATACGGAGCAAGCATTTTATTCCGGCGAGAGGCCATTAGTGAGCTTTCCGACCTAACAGTGGAAACTAAATCGGGTAAACTGGTCAGGGTGTAGGGCCATCTATATACATGTACATTCACTCTTTTTCTACACCCTCTCTCTCTCTCTCTCTCTCTCTCTCTAATATATAGTTATAGTATATAGTGATAGTATTAATATATATATATAATAACATATATAATATATATATAATCATAGAAGTATGAGCAGCACACGAACAGCCCGTGTAGAGTATAAAACAAAGTCAAGGTATAGAATAAGGTGTTGTTTAAAGTTTAATTGGACGAGGTTTCGAGATTACATTTCTTCATCAGGTCAGTCAGATCATTGGATATAGAATGCAAATAATCAAAAACAAATACAATGCCGTTATAAGATAATTCAACAAAATAAATGATTCACAAAACAATTCGCGCGTTGTCCATGAAATATGTTACGGACGACAAAATAACAGCACATATGTACTATATTAATATATATAGGTACACGCCAAAAACTACACACCCCACACAGAGACGACACACACAACCACAAACACACACACACACTCTACACACATCACACACACACACAACAGCGTCACACACCACACAACGACACAAACGAAGCAAAGGACTCAAAATCACAACGTTATTAAGTTTATCGTTCTTGGCCCCCTGATTTAATACAACCAACCGCTGTCAGACATTAAGTTTCTGCTCAGTCATGTGTCAAGTGAGCTATTGTAATATGGGTGTCAGTTGGCAGCCACAACAGCAGGGCTCGCACGTCATCAACTGTGGTGATCCGGTTGTTAAAAATGTTCAGCAAGCGGGAAACATGGAAATTGAGGCGAATAGATCGATTAGAGGGTTTTGGTTTTTTTTTCAACAAACTATCCGCAAGGCGCCGTTTTGTTTCCGCCAATTATAAGTAATATTGGGATTAACGCATTCAATGGCGTAAATGAGGTTCGCGCACAGACCATGAAATCAATCTCGTAACTATATAATATTGCCGCCCGAGGCCTTGAACCACAGATCTATTCGTGATAAAATTGCAAGTACTGGCACACGTTCTCGGACAACGGCCGGGTATGAGCCAGATTGGACTCACGGGGTTTGTCAGAGTTGGTAAACGGTGCTTGAAACAAGAGTGTCGCGGAGAGGTGGTATCAGTCTGTATGAGCATATAAGTGGTTTGAAAAAGATGTTAGCGGTGATTTAGATCGTTTTGAAGATTTTATAATTATCAAATGTAACAAACTTTGTGATGTGCAGGATTGAAGGTGATAGTGTAAAACCAATGGACTATTTGTCTGATGTTCCTTATTCACGGGCCGTCTTTTGCTAGTAGGCTGTTATTACGACAGGGCCCGATTTAAGGGAAAGTTCATTGTTCTTATTATTTCTTAGATAGGTCTAGATGTGATTATAGCTCACGGCGTGTAAAATAATTCCATTATTTTGAAGCTTTTGTGGTTAAAATCAGTTTTTGAGTGTGCATCATGTTTTGAGACTAACAATTGAGAATTGTGGGAGGCTATTTTTAGTGTGGCGAGGGTGAGAAGAAGAATACATTAGATCATATCGACCGTATTCATCGTTGTCGTCCGTATTCATGGCAACGGGCTGTCGAGTTGTGTGAAATTCTTCATTTTTTGTTATCTATAACGCATTGTATTTTGTTTTTGATTACTTTGATCTATTCCACTGATCTGCTGACCGATGAAGAGTATTAATCTGCGAACAGCTCGTCAATTAAACTTTAAACAGCCCTTATTCTATACCTTTGGACTTTGTTTTTATATACATATATATATTATAGCTATATATTTATATTATTCAGATGTAGAACAACGTAATATGTATGCATACCCGCATATACTTTGATTATTGTACTTTCTAATGTTTCAAATGTTATACCGTTACTGAGATAGCTCAGAATAGCGTTAAAAACAAAATTAGAAGAAAGAAAAAAATTACAGTTATAAAAAGAAGAATATATATATTCTGCATATGGACGAACGAAACAATAAGTGTAGTCCGTATTAGCATTAGAACGCAGGTATATTAAGCTGACGTGGTACTGACAGATTGTTTTTACTTGACATAAGTCGTTTATAAACATGATCTGTCATGACTTTGGGTGTACATGCGCGGTATGTAACAAACTTCAAGCAAATTGGGTCAGGAACCGCTTACAATGAGCATGCCTGCGTCACCACGCGCGATCTGCTAATTCCTTTACAGAAAACGACAAATAGACAAGAGCCGCAAAGCTGACAGATAAACGAAAATACGGAAACTCGAGCCCGAACTGGTCGGCATATATACCTCTAGATTCTAGCAGTGGACATTTAATGCTCATGAGTACGTGCTCCGTACCTTAATGTGAGGATACAGGCAACATCGCGCAAATACAGAACATACGTGAATTGAATCAATGAACTGTTGTGTGTACATATCAAGCGTGTCATCGAGCGTTGCTTGAGACATTTGATCTACAGTGACCACCGTAAAGATACGCACGCATGGATATCAGGTGAGAATTAGTTTACTAGATCGATCATTCAACGCTGCTATGACTGTGCGTACACATGACTGTGCGTACACATGCACTGTCCATACACCGTCTCGTCTGTATATTTCTTATATATCTTCATATTGATTTATATGTTCTGTTTTTATTCTGTTTAGATTTTCATGTTTTGCTATCTATTTGTTCGTCATATATTCTTCTATCGGCAACCTAACCAGCGCATGGGTTTACTATATATATGATGCGGTGTCTAATTCTTGTGGGTTTGTGCGAAATGTTTTTTCACCTGTAGGTTATACTGTTACTATTATAAAAATAACATTGAGTACCGCATGACCAACAATAAATTAAAGCGCTCAAAGGCACGCGTTCTAAATACCTTTTCGCAAGAAAGTATTTTGTCGTGCAGATATATTATTTGCTCATCGTTCGAGATTTATAGATTCTAAAAAGAAACGGAACGGTCTACTTTCTCGCTCGCTCACTCTTTTTCGTTTCTCCCCCTCCCCCTCTCGCTCGCTCGCTCTCTCTCATTCTCCCTCTCCTCGCTCTCTCTCTCTCCCCCTCCCCTC